TTTTTTCAGATTGGTTATAAGCAGAGTAAAAGCTACATCTCTGTGTGCGTTGCATCAGTTGTCATATGTCCTAGTTATAGGCTGTCTTGCGACGGAAAATCTCGCATATTTATCTCAGACAGTTATTTACGAGAACCTGTATTTTATTTCTGCAGAAGTTTTTCTTCTCCGTACAGGAACTTTAGATTTCACATACGAAATGAATATTCTTACGGCAGCGAAAATCAGTGCAATGTGAATAGCAGGTCTAGAAGATTATATACATACATATTTTTATACTTACATTTGTGACAGTCCAAAATCTACAAAATAAAAAATTATGTTTTTCCGTCAAAAAAAAACTTCAAGCAAAATAAGCAAACAACAATTTGCTGATTAAAAATTTTATACAATTAAGAAAGACGATAAAATGAAACTGGCAAATAAAAACAAATGTATTATTATGTATAATAATTAGACTGATTGGAAAAATTTGACTTATTTCGGGTAGCCATGAGTACGTACAAAATATTTAAATGAAAATAAATAATTTTAAATATTCTTTAATATTTATATACATATGTACATATGTATTTGTAGGAACATCATTTTTTAAACGTTAACGAGTTTATACATCATTGTATGCTTCCCAAAATATTGGCGATTAAGAGGTTATACATGAAAGATGCACCACACATACACACGTCAAATTGAATAAGACAATGAAAGAAAAAATCTATAAAAATTAAGGTGTAAGAGCTTGTAACACGAAAAATGCAAATAAAATATCTAGATGTTGTATACGATAATAAAATCCTGGAGAGAAAGTAGAAGGCTGAATGTGTTATCCTTTGATGAGATTGATTTATGCCTTAGGGTGATCTTATTCCTAACCTACAAAGTGGGGTCGAGTCGAAGAATAGAATTAAGCCGATATCAAGAAGAGAGTTTAGAGGTTAATATGCAGGAATCTGAGTCAGACAGTAATGTTCACAATTAATTTTAATAAACGTTTTATTGGAAATAAAACATTTCTCGTGAATAGCGTCATCTAAATGCTAAAGAACAATAGGACTTGAAATAAACAAGCGGCACCGAAAAATAAAACCGAAAAATAAAACCGAATCACACTGTGACTAAATATAGTAATTAATTTAAAATGAATAAAGATGCGTTCAGAATGATGAAGACTTGTAGGTAACCGAAAGGTTTACCAGTAATCCTAATGTTGGTAATATGTATTAAATAAATCAATTGAAAATTATTTTGAACAACATATTTTTAGGTTTTCATATTCGATGTTATTGAAAGAAGGAGACCACACATTAAATTTAATTGGTAAAACAAAAATTTTTCTTCATTTACAAAATGGTCTGATAAAAAGTGTAAATAAGTGCCAAAATTGTTGTAAACACTCATAGAGAAACATAATATGAGTGTGCAAGTTACATATGTATGTATATATTTAATATTAACTGTGAAACATAATGCATACAAATATGTGAAGAACTGAAGAATTAAGGCAATATAGAGGCGTGCAAGCATTTAATAGAATATACGTGTGAGCCCATAACCACTTTTATATTATTAAATATTTATTTAATATTATTTTTATTACCCTATATTTTATAATATAAGGGAATATCCGAGTAAGTAATTTATTTTTTATCTTCATATTATAAAGAAAGCAGAGTGAATTTTAAAAATATCCTTTTCAATATTAATCTGAAATCCATTGATGATTGAATAATCATATGTTTTTTTTATTGTAGAAAATCATTACATTGTTATATTTCTTTTAAATTGTCCTCGTGAAGGAATAAAGAGTTAATTGCAATTATTTTCGAAGGGTTCATTTTAATATTCTTTAATATACTTTTATTGATTGCCATTAATTTTATTCGTTGTGTTATTGACGCAATAAGTATATGCATTAATATTCAATTTATATTGCTACTTATCGATTGAAAAAAATAATAAATAAATAAATAATTAAATGAAGTCACTTTGTAATAATGTTATAAATTATAATAAAATTAAGTGTACTATAGTTGATAATTTACGCGATTAAAATATAATTAAATTTCTTTTCGATTTTTGGGTTTTATTTTAAACAAAAATTGAAGAAGAAATTGTGTTTGTGCTGTTTTAAATATAATAAAATCTAAATGATAAGTTAAATATGTGAGGTACATACATTGAAAAGCTAAAAAAATATATTGAAAGGTAGTTCGGGATATTGGGGTTTTTTACGAGTGTTGTATTGTATAATAAATTTTATTACTTACTGTTTCATTTGTTAGTGATACTGTAGTGTAGTTCACGTACATATTGTTTTTTATTATCTTGGGTATAATTATTATTGAATTCAATCATGAAAAGAATTTTTATATAATTATACTATTAAGTGTGAATTAATATCACTTAATATGTACTTTTGATTTTAGTTGATGAAATTTCTTGCTATATAAAATTGGATAATCTGAAAAATCGCAAATTTTTTGAATCGATTATAGAAAACTATTTAAATAATCTTATTTTGAATTTAATGTAATTTAAATTAATAATCATTAATTAAAACTTTAAACTGTCCGTTCATAAACTAGTTATTTAATTGTATTTGAAAGTAATTAGAATAAAAATGTTTAATTTACTTATTGTAGATTTTTGTAAGGAGATATGTACAATTCCCGTTCCGAACACCCCAGTCAACCATAGATTAATGGGGCTCTTTCCATGACTTCCTCTCTCCTTTAAATTATTCTGGTTTCAAGTATGTGTATCCGGATATATTCCGGATCCGGATATATCTAAAAAGAATTGGATGAGAATTCTTCAACAATTGGAAAACTTTGTCTATAACATTTACGATTTCTGGCGGCATAAAAGACATAAAATTTGTACGGTTACAAGTCCACTGCCTAAACGAAATCTACACAAAATTTATAGGTAGTTCAGTAATATATCAAAACTTGTTTGATTTGTTACCGAAATAGATCATTGAAGGCAATTCCAGATTATATTCAAAATTTTTAAGTTATTTTTTTTGGATTAAAATTTATCTATTTTTAAACTGCTAAATAATGTGTTATAAGGACATTAAGACTATAAGACAAGTATAGACAAGTATATATAAATTTTTTTTTTATTTGTATTGAATTTTAAAAATTACATTTGGATTATTTATGTATTTATATTCCTCAAATATACATAATATTATGTATATAATCCTTTATTGATTATCCTTAAAGTATTATCATTATCATACATTATTTTTTATGTCGCAAAATTATGATGACCCAAATCATTTTAATAATAAGAAGAAAAGTATATATAGAAATATACCCAACCAATTAATTTATCCAAGAATATTTATAAAAAATTTGTATATGAATGTCCTTTTTAGTTTCTATTATATTATTATGTTCCTATAATATATATAATAACTAAAAAAGCTTCATATCGGAAGTATAATTTGAGCTCTTGAGCCCAGACAAACTGAATTTTATTAAAATGAATGATTTTTTTCTTAAAAAAATAATCTAATCGATGGTTTGAAGGATGTTTTAGGAATTGTATAATTTGGGTTTCGAATTGTTCAATTATAGTTATATGTGTGTGAACTACAAAGTATGCATGAGAGAGTAGGGGGCTCACATTGATAATATTTTTTTTTTAATAAAGTGATAAGATGGATTATTTTTTTTCCTCTCTTGTCCTTTTCTTTTTAAGGCTATTTCAAAACGATTTGATAAAGAATTTATACTTCGGTTATTAATCTACTCTGAATTATAAAAGCAATTGATATAAAAACAGATAAATTATTAAATATATATACAAACAGATTAATACAGAAATGTATAGACATAGGTATATTAATTGTAAAAGCAGACAATAAGGATGTTTGAGGATAATATTAAACTTGTGCTTATGTGATGATATTATTAATATAAATAGAAGAAGAGAAAAAAAAAATAAACAATTTTCATTTTCATCTGACCTTTTAATTTGTTTATTCAGCAAATAAAAGACAAAATTATTGATGATATGTAAACTTTTTCTATAATCCTCGTGCCAAACTTAATATAAACATACATTAATGTTAATATTTTTTGTGACAGTGTTTTTTCGTCAAACAATTAAAAAAATATATGTATGTATTTGATATTCACAGTTATTATCGAAATTATTGAGTTTTCGCATAGGTGTTCGGATATATAGGATTATATTGACTTCTGATTTCTAATGATTGATATTTTGTAATTTCTAACAATAAATGAATGTAATCACTAATTTTCAGTTAAAACTGAGCCTCCGCTTCATCCTTATTTAGTACCTATGTGCTCTGATGTGTCGGACTGCATCGTTACTCTCATTTTTGCCTACTCTTAAGTCAAGTCAACTTAAAAATCAGTCTCAACTTAAGTTAAATTTCAAAATTTGCTTTTTTTTAGTAATGAATTCATAAATTTATTTAAAATAATAATAAATTATGTATATAAGAATAAGCTTAAGGATGGCGTATCAAACAGCACTCTACTTATAAATAAATAAATACACATATTAAAATCAAGTAGACGAACAATATTTACCAGTACTGTAATATTTCGAGAAAATTCTTATATAATAAAGTAATTATGTGCATTAATTTGTAACTCCATACACATACATATATGTTTGTATTTATAAAATTTATGTACCAATCAGTACACGAGTTATTAATTATAATCAACTTTTTATGAGGATTTTTATAAATATTAGCTTTAATTATTTTTTGAATATTAATGTATATATGCAAATATTTAAATGGTGTTCTGTAATAAATACATAAATTTAATAAATTAAAGAAAATCTATTCATTCCAATAAAATTCTGAATCCAAATCAATATAAAAATTCCTATAACAACCATAAAAATGTGATTGTCATCAAAACTATTCGAATTTAATTCAAATTTTTAATTTAAATTGAATATATTTTTAAAAAGAAGATTAAAATTATAGTCATTAATTATATATTTACCTTAAAAAAAATTAATCTCATTAAATGATTGATGATTTTACCTAAAAAGAAATAAAAAAGAATAAAACATAATTAAAATTCAATTAAAATCAATTAAAATTAATGAGAAAATTGCATAAATTTTTTTTTTTTTGGTATTAACTTAGTGATTAATAATAAATAAAAATATTTAAGTATTTATAAATAATGTTATCTATAGTTAATTGAAATTGGCATAACTATACACACTAAGGACTCTCTCTAGTCTAGATAGTATTCAAAGATATGGTATTTAAGAAGCCAATATACCAATAATCTCGCCATGGGAAATAGTTTTCATTTATTGCTCTCCTTCCTTTATGTTTTTGCAATATGTTTACATTATTGTTGTGTATTGTAGTTAATTATAGATTAGTATTGTTGTTAATAATAGAGTGGTTATTAAGTTTTTTAATTTAAAACAGCGTCACTAAAAAAAGGAATTCTATAAATATAATTACAAAAATTGTCTTCTGCATACCACAATACGCCATATGCAAAATGATTTTATTTAGAAAAAAATTCGAAATAAAGTAAAGCAACAGACTTATTTCTTATTATATTACTCATACAAAACTGCTCTTATATATTTTAGAAATCGACTGGTCATGGTAAAATACCAATGAGATGAAAATGAAAATAGTACTTTGTAGCACCACGTTTAATTCATTATTTCTAATTTAGCTAAAATTCTTTTTTTTTTCAATTTTAAATTTTAAGAATCTAAAAAACATATGTTTATGTGTATGCACAAATAGAATATTGTAAATTTTTTTTAGTTTTCGCTTTTATTCATTTTAATTTGTTTTTCTTTTATTTTGAAAATTCTTCTTAATATTATTTCGTTTTAATGCTGTCATATTCCCGGAAGTTGAATAATTTTCTAAATAATATTTTTGTTTTTTTTCACCAGGAGGAGCATTGGTCTGCCCCAGCAATTTATATAATATTTGTATGGTGTTGAATTTATATCCTGCAGAGGGTGGATTCAGAATATTTTTGCGGCAAGATGTCGAATTGAGTTTGCACAGCCCTATAAACATTTTTGACGGTTGATTTAGTCAGTGGATTTGGTTTAATATTATTTAAATTGATTGAAGAAGAATATTTAGAACTATATTTGAAATTACTGATTTTTACTGTTTATATTTTGTGAGCTGTACAATATTAAATACTGCAGAGAGTTTGGTAATTTTTTACATTATTTTTTTTTACTAATGTTAGAAATTAAATATGTTTTTTTTTAGCCTTGCTAAGTCATAGAATACTGGAAATATATATTTTTTATTCCGTCTAGTCAGAAAAGGGATCAAGTTCAAGTCTTGAAGTTAAGATGATTGCCTTGAAGGACCAATACTATATTGTTTAATGGTATGCTTAATTGAAAGTAACAATTTATCGGGAAAATTACACAATACAATTACACTTTTTTTATCCACTTTCATTTCCGAATAATTTCAATCCATAAGGGAATTTTGAATTCTTTTTCATATTGATTAAGGATTTTTTCCATGTTTTCTTTATACTTTTTAGTCTTATTTTTATTTTCGGTGTAGCTATTATAATAACTGAACAGTTTTGAATTTCTTGTTTTCTTTTTCGCTTTGCCGTCACTTTTATTTCATAGAATTTTTTTCCCTTTGCTATTCAGAGATTTTTAAATTATGTAATCTAAAATCTCATTAATTGGGAAATTCCGCAAATTTACAGTAATAAAACGTGAATCAAAATCAAATAGTTAAAACGGCGTGTTGTTCTGAATTTTTTTTCTGTTTTTTCATTCTATATTATATTTTTGTGGATATTAAATATCCTTTGGGATTAATTAGCTTCACTGGAATGAAAAAAAACAGGCAGAAAATAAAAATATGTATAAAAATTGAAAACAGAGAAAAAAAAGTAAAAGATAAATGGTAATCAATTGAAATCCTGTATAACTGTACTAGGGTTTTTTTTTATAGAAGTCTCCAGTTGTTGAATTGAGCAGGATAATAGAAAATAAAAGCTATTTGTTAAGAGAAGAGAAAGACAAAGTGATAGGAAAGGTAGTGAGATAGAAAAAATGGGGATTTAAAATAGGGATTCTTGTTGTTATCCTTGGTTTATATAATTGGTACATATAATTTGCATAATATATGTTTGTCGCGTCGTATCCTCTTATTCAGGTGTACGAATATTTACACTCTTTGCTTATTTTTTGTTGTTCTTTTTTTTTTTACAATTTGCCTACTTTTTGTTTTTTATGTGTAAATTTGTTTATTTTTATTTTACATCCTCGTATATACTCAATGGAGCAATAAAAACCAATTTTAAGGATATTCCAATTTAGCTGATTTAAAAATCCTACAGGAATAAAAGAAGAAAAGAAGCTCTATAACTTAAAATTAAAATTATATTAGGTATATTTTTTTGCTTTATTTTGTTTCAAGGATTTTCTTAAAGATTAACTTAAAATTTTTGGAAAGCTATATTAAAACTTAGCTATATTAGAATGTACTTTCACTTTTTTACTTAGGGGAAGTTAGAATTACTTCAATTTGGAGTTTATTAAAGAGTAGTATTAAGAGTGTTTTAGCAAATTAAATTAATTTTTTCATATATAAAAAATTTAGAATTTCCCAAAAAAATGGATCTGATTCACGATTTTTGTTTAAATTTTGAAAATTATTGAAATTCAAATGCTTAAGATTTTTCAAGAGGACTAGTTAATTAAAAACAATTTTCAATTAATTATACAAGTAAAAAATACTTAGAAACCCCATTATATTTAATGAATTCATAAATTTGGGATCGTTATATTTTTCGGTAGCATCTTTGCATTAGCAGGATTAATTGTCCTTAGCGATAAATAATTCATTTTATTATTTCATTTAATTTTATAAGATGCATTTTACATTTATTAATTTTTTTTTTTAACATAAAATATTATTTTTACTATTTTTATTATTATCACCCTGTATTGCTGAGTTTAATCAATTTATAGCATTAACAATAAGCTTATGAACAAAAAGAAGAGATGAAAATTTCGAATTTCGATTTTTTTTAATGACTATGAAAAAGAGTTTTTCTTTATAAAATTTTCATTTTTATTATTTTAGAAATTTAATAGAATTTCGACATTTTTTACGATTTTTCACTGTAATCACCGGAACAAATAATAAAATATGGGAAAAAACAAAACAGAAAAAAATGATTCATAAAAAATAGCGAAAAAAAAAATAAAATTCCTTACGTTTTCTTTTGTCTTCAATTCGCTAAAGAGAAAATTTTATTTTATAATCTTTTTTAGTATTTGAAACAGGGATGTAGGGAAGGAATTTCAATAAATAATATACTAGTGACATGTAAATTCATGCTAGCATTCCATTAAGACAGTCCAGTTTTCAGAACACAATCTTATTTCCGTTGTGAATGGTAATTAAACAAAATTCATTGGCAGAACATTGTGCTTTCGGACGAGATACCGTTCCATATCATATGGGATCTTTTTCCCCTCCAGCCTATAAATCTGCTTACGCAAGCTACAATTTGCTGGTGGTTCTCACTATGAGCTTTCCATTGCAAAAAAAAACAGAAATTCGTAAAGCATTCCTAATTCATTAATTCAACTATGTAATCTATAGCATTCCAGTTACTCCAAAAGTGAATGGTAGTTATTTCAAACCATTCCGGGGATTAATAGTGTTATTTAATGAAAATTGAACTTTTAAAAGTAGCTATGAATTACATCGTGCTGCACCACTGCTTTTAAAAATTTTTAATGAAATTTACTCCAATGTATTTGTGTTTTCTTTGTCTTTCGGATAGATGATGAATCCTTAAAGTAATTTTATGGTCGAGCGTGCAAAAGAATTTTTTTTTATATAAAAAAATCATTCTTTTTATATTAAGTATGTATGTAGATGTGTAAGTATGTATGTTTACTAAATGGTTTTCTATTCTTCAAAATTACAATGTATAAGAATTTTTATTTTCTCTTTTTGTTTTTTTCTATTTTATTTTTTATTATTGAACTAATGTTTGGCTATAAATTTTAGGCGGGAGTGAAAACACAAATTGAAGAGAGTGTTGGACGGGGGCGTAATAATAATAATTTTTTTTAAACAAGTCGTGAATTTAATTTTGGTTCATTTTATGAGAATATGCGGTTTAATTTTTTATTCACATTATATGTGATTTTTAGGTGGGAAGAATGAAAAAGATTGAAGAATTTTCACTTTTATATCATTGATCATTTTTGATGAAGCTCATGGGAAAATCAAAATAAAATTTGAGAATATGAAGAATATCCTTTTTCCCATACGTAATATATTTTAAGGGAGAAGAGGCAGGAGCGGGAGTTTTTCTTTTTATGATTTGATCTTAAACGATTAAAAAAAAGGTTTATTTTAAAATATTTAATAACTTTGTATTGTCGGTAAGGGTTATGAACAGTATACTTTGTTTATTTATCGCGTTTTTTAAAAAATATGCTTATTGTGACTGGTTCTGCAGCATTTTTTTTTTAAATTCTATTTGCATTACAATATATTTACTTTGTAGAGCAAATATAGAGTTGCACTAGTCACCTCTGTGACTGCATTGTGGTGCGCATTATATATTCTATGAGTTGCAAGAGTATATAAACTGCTGCTTAGTTTGTTGTTAATAATACCGATTAAATAACTTAAATATTTTCAATGTTACATGGCAAATTTGTATGCACGCTTGTACTATGTATAGTTTTTGAGATATAATAAAATTGTTTTAAATTCTTATATTTAATGTTCGCTGCTGAAAAATTTTTGTATGTACTTTAATCTTAACATCGTATACCAGACATGTAAAATTTTACTTTATTTTGTCAAAGATTAATTTTTAAATCTTAATGACTCTTCCGTCATCACAAATACAGTAGTTTCTACTTCTTGAATATCGCAGCTGCCCAACTATGCTTAATTGTCTTAATTTTTTCTTGTCATAATTGCGTGTCATCACTATTATAACAAATTTTCTTAAAAATTTAAAATATATTTTTTTAAATTCCTATGATTTATTCTTTAAAAGCAAACTTCTTTTAAAATTGGAAACTTTTCTAAAAAAAAACTAAAGAATAAAAGGAAAATGCTAAAAAATGCTTTTATTTTCTAATAAAAATTCTAGTTGGAAAACTGCATACTATTTTAAAATTACACCATACAAAAAAATATGTAAATTCACACCTGTAATAAAATTTCTCCACAGAATTTTTTTTAATTACCCTTATAATTTTATATAAAAATTTTTCCCGTTTTTCATTCTCTTCTCTTATATAGTAGCTACTAAATTTAATTTGTCTTTTCACCAAAACTTTTATAACACACAACAATATCTAGATAAGCAACTATATACAATAAGTATATAGACACTCATATATAATAGAAAAATGGAACTTTGCGAGTAGCCAAATAAAAGAGTTTTCACTAACATAGAATAGGAATTCCGGAAAAAAAGCTGAAAATCACCTTACTATTATCTTACACACCAAAAACAAAAAAAGAAAAATTATTATTTTGAACTTCATAAACTTTAAAGAAACCATCAGTATAGAAATAAATAAAAGCCAAGGTAGAACAATAAGAAAATCAAAAAGAAAATAACAAAAACTATAAAAATAGTAAAGAAATTTACATAAAAAAGACTGGTTTCTCTTTAAATTTAAAATGGTGTAAATAAAAAAAATGAATTGTAACCTCTTTGGTTATATAATTGCATGTACGTGTGTGTTCACCATCTTATAATCGAAATTTTTCCTTAGTGCTACAGAATATTAAGTACAGAGCCATAAGTATTGCTTATGAATTTTCTATTGAATGTATTTCTTACTTAAAACAATCAAATTTTAGATACAATGTACATTAATATTGGAATCAGGTCGAAAAGTGGAATAATTATACTGTACTAGCAAGTATGCTAAGAAATGATTCAACAGTTCAGAAAAATTTTGTCCTTACGAATGCTAAAGAGCCAGTATATAGATAAAAACTCTTGAGTTGGGGTCATGCATATAAGACTTGGACTTTTTGTTCACGGGATATTTTCTTTACGTGAATAGTTTTTAAAAATGCATTTATCATTATTTTTTCGGTTTTTAGATAATAATGAACTTCCATAATGTTTCCTGGGGCGATATTTTCACGTCACAACAACGGCTCGTCTAGAATGTTGTCTGATACAGGAACAATTTTGTTTTTTAATTTTTTCAGTAAAATAAACTGTGACCATAAAATTTATGGAAATATTGGTTAACTTGGAAATAAATGGATTAACGATCGGTTATTCGTTTCTTTGTCAGCTGATTCTCTTTTTGATCCTTTTAATGCTTTCTCAATACATGTATAGAAAATAGGATTACAACAAAACTATTATTTATATTAAAATATAGTGTTGAAATTTTTTACGATATTTTCGCATTACAACAAGGATAATCTAATATTTGAAATGGATTAATGTTACTTAGGGTATACAATAATATTTTAATACCAAATTTATTTTTTGTTCAGATAGAAATTTTTTGTAAGCTTGACAGAACAAAAATACTTCCGCATTTTTTTTTTTTTTTTTTCGATAAAAAGAAAAAATAACAAAAATAATTTGTTCGGGTGCTTATCCTTTGCCTGCGATTCATACTGCTTTTTTTTTTGGTTCATTTTATTTTAGTAAATTACGGGAATAGTTATCAAATGAAGGATGCAATTAAAAAAGTTCAAAGTTAAAAAAAAAAAACTGCAAACTATAAAAATAAAAAAATCAACACGAATGAAAAGAGAAAAGTTATAAAACAAAACAGGATAATGAAAAAAAGCAAAAATTTAAAAAAAAAAACTTTTTGGAAAATAAATTGGATTCTTTTTTTTTGTTCTTTTTTACTTATTTCCAGCAACTGGTTTTAAATTTCAATTTTTTTATATTTGCTTGCATGTACCCATACAATTTGTGGAGGAAAGAAAAGGACATAATGAAAATTAAAGAAAAATTTTTAACATTTTAATTGAATTTAGAATTTATTTGGATTGTTGTGTATTTATACGATGAGTAAAAGGATGCAAATGTTTATAATAAAAAAAAAATAACATATGAACATTCAACAAAACATACGAAAGTTATGTATAGGATATTGTTGTCGAACAATAAGTATCCTAAGGATGAAGAAAATAATTTATTTTATATAAAAAAGATAACAGAAACAAAATATTTAGAATTTATTTTTTATTCTTTTTCAAATTTAATACTGTTTTCTCTCCATATGTGAGAACAATGGTTTTAAGTGAATTTTGTTTCGACTGCTACGCTTAAATTGCATAGAGTACCAGAAAATTTCTTTATTGTTTTAATATACTATAAAATTCTTTATTTATTTAAAATTGGATATGACTTTCTAGTATTAAATAATTTAATTATTTAAATAATTTTTAATTCTTTACACATCTCACGAAATAAATTAGTAAATATGCAACTAGAAGCGGAAAATTACGGTAAGCGGTTGAAATTGAGGTAATAACAGCTGATAAGTAATAAAGAAACCAATGGAAAATTTTAATATTTTGCGAGAAGATTGTGTTAGACTAGAGTTTAAAACCTTACGTATCATATTTTGGAAAAATATTTAGAAATACTGTGAATAGCACATTGTTTTGTGTATTTTTTTTTAAGAAATCATGAAAATTTCTAAAAACAATTTTAAAGACTTCTTTAGGGCAAATTCGAGTTTCGAAATCCAAATTTTGCATATTCTATTCTTAAGCGAATTTTTATTAATCACAAAATTTCATTTTCTTATTAAAGATTAAATTTTGAACATTAGTTAATATTGAAAATTCGAAAAACTTTCTTTCTAGTTTATAAAGTTACTTAAAAATTCCTTGGAACTATAATAATATAAATAGTTCAATAAAATTTAAATTATATCCTTTAAATGACGTTTACGTGAGATTTAATATAATTTTAGTTTTTCTAACTAGATTAAACTAACATTAACTTTATGATACTATGAAAAACTATTTTAAACAGCCTTGAATTTTGTTCAAAATTGGAAACTATTAAATTTTTAATTTCTAAAATTATTTTTTTTCTTAACACACTGATTACAAAATCTTTATAAATTTTAATAATAAACTTGAAATTTTTAAACTTGGTGAGATTATTCAAAAATTACAAAAAACATCCCAAAAGGATAATAAAATAAATTTTTAAAATATTTTTGCATTTGTCGTTAAATTTAAAATCACAAAGGAATTTTTTATAATAAAATTTTCGTTTATTTTACAAATGTGCATTTTTTTAGACACAAGGAGATGAAATTTTAACTATTCTATACAATTAAATTGTTATTATTTTACTTAATGTAATAATAGTTGTAATAAGTTTCTTGAGTTTTATAGAATATTATATTACTAAAGTATTATAAAGATTATTCTATTATAAATTTTTTATTTCAGTTATTTCAATGACTGGTTGCTAAGCATTCCTAAAAAACTTTGCCAATTTCACGATTTACTTGATGAGTTAGTTTACACTTCTGTTTCTTAATTACTCTGTCAAAAGCACAAAAAAAGTATAAAATGGAAAGCTCTTTTGATGTTGTTCAGAGAAAGCTGTTTTGATTCGTTAATGGCAAACAATAGAAAATTTCAGCATAATATCTATACGTCAGCTAACGATAGGCGTCTCAAGTCAAGCCAAGGTGGAACAGCATTGGCGATGATTGCGTGACAACGTGGGAGTTAAGTCGTTAATATGCGAACTCTGAATACCAGGCATCTTCCAGTTTAAATAAAGGTTCCCTTGGTATACCGAACTCTGCCATTAGTACTACACTTTTCTACGCTACTCGTGGGAACAACATGGAACAAAAAAAATTTAATGGAAGGCTGTTTTGATGTCACTCACTTAATAAATGCCATGACATGTTATTAATAATAATAAAATTGAAGCTTCATTAATATTATAGCCCAACCGTAAGTATAAATTTAGTACAATTTATTTTAATTTTAAGAATACGAAACTGTTTATCCTTTTCTCACATTTCTTATTTCATATCTAAACAAAATATGGAGCTTTTTTGTTCTATACGTCATTTAAAATAAAAATTTCTAATAGCATGTCATTTACTTACATGAATGTTTATAGCAAAAATAAAATAATAAACTTTTTCCATGATAATATTAAGTTAACTGCATCCCAAAATGAATTTATTTTATGTTTATACATGTGAAAAGTGTTTGACTTTATCTATAGTTTCCAAATCAAAAGTTAGAGTAGAAATTCTTTGAATTTCAAAGAAAAATTTTTGTAATCTTTTAGCATTAGGGCTAATAATATAATGTTATAACCACATTCATAATGTTATTATGTAATACAATAATATACAATAATATAGTAAATGAGAAGAATTACACTAAAACTGAGATACATACTTATATATGTATAAATAGAAGTTTCATGTTGCTTTCATAGAAAAAGTTTAAAATAAATGCTTATTGTATTATAGAAATTTTTATTTTTGTGGTTTTTTATATTGCATTTTTAATAATAAATTTAATATTTAAAATATTTTCATTTTAAATTTAACATTTATTTATAAAAAAGGAAAATAAGATTTTTGGGGGTATTATGTAAAATTAGTCATAGGGTTGATCGTACCATTATCCAATACATTTAAAAATGTAAAAACTTTTGAATGCAAAACACTTTCTTCAAAAATTTTAAAGTCTATGCAGAGGAATATGGAAAAGGAGTATTTTCATAATACATAACAGGATAGTTGGACCACTGAACACTCTAACACAATTAGATTAATATTCGAGGAATCAGTAAAATGATACAGCTCCCTGTATGCAGTTTTGGTGGACTTTGAACGTTCTTTCGATACAATCAAACGAGGCGCGATCTGGTTTGCAAGGTAGCATAACTACGCAAAGGAATCAGACAGCTGCTTGCACATAAATTACAAAGCCTGGAATATGCCGATAAAGTTTTTCTACTGACTCTCTCACTCACCCAAAAATATGCAACTCATCATAAATAAGTTAGCAGAGTAAACATAAACAATAGGTCTGAAAATAAATATGGCCAAGACCTAGCTCAAGAGAATTAATAACACAAGTCATATCTATTGAAAAGATATCAGAATACGAAATGTTATTTAAATTTATATAATGTTTTACTTATAATACAAGAGGCTTAAATTTTCTTCACATTTTTAAATTTTCAATATTATGAACGAAGTATTAAAGACCTAGTTATAATATTAAAAGCTAACGCAGTATAATACAAATTCTATTTTATTATTCGGATTTAAAATCTTTTTTTATGTGGAAGTACATATGTATATAAATACACCTATATGATGTTTAGTCAATCAAAATGAGGACATTAAACTTTAGATTGAATTTTGTGATGTAAAATTATAGAAAAAGAATATTTTTATTATCTATCCGCTTGGTATGTTGTGCTTTTGACATTAGACAAAAAAATTTTTATGTTATTCCATTGAAAAATAAAAGAATTATATAAAAGGAATTATTTAAATACAAAGAATCTATGAACATTTAACATTATATACAATTATACAAACGTATTTAATATCCTTACAATAACTTTTACTTTTGAAATTTTAATATAAATAATTCATGCATAGAGAAAGAGAATTTTTGTTTCAGTATTTAACAGTAGTGTCATCATACATGTAAATATGAAGCAGCATTACCAGAATGTACTAAAAGATTTTATAACACATGCCATTTTTATTATATTTCATATTGAATGTGAATTTATATAATTTTTATTATCAATCATGAAATTATGCGTTTATGACAATAATGATCAAAGTCTATAATATCTTTTATAAATTTATTTCAAAAAATTTTATATTTATGTATATTAAATACATTCAATAATCCTTGAACACCATTCTGTTTTCATAATTCATTAATTTCTGTGAGATACTGGTAACAAGTGAATAATCAAGTGAATTTTTAATTTCATGAATAAGTTGCAATAATTGCATTAAAAATAACACATATGTCACCATACTTAACAGTCTACAAAGAATAATTCATTTTAATTTAATTTAATATTTATGTATAAAGATATAATATAATCTTCTATTCACAGTTTCTATGTAATCATACATATAAAAGCACAATGTGCACAAAAATAATCAGGGTGCATATAAAATGCATACATATAAAAATGGTGACACAAATATACTGCACTTATGATGATGAATGCATAGAAATTGGATATCACATTGCAATATTACGAAAGTATAAAGGAAATATTTATTTTAAAAATTGAAATTTAACATTTATACAGGTGTGTTGAGTATTTTAATGAAGGATTTTAATTTTATTTGAATCGTGGTGTATTTTAATATATATATGTATATATAGGTATTCATTTGTAAATTATTTGTCGCTTCTTTTCTTTTGATAAAGCGCTGCTACTACCACATTTATTTTTTTGCTTTTTTTTTTGTATTTTAGGTATAAAAAGTACCTACCAATAGTTTATTTATTTTTCATTGCCTTTGTGGTTTTAAATTGATTTCCATATACTACTATATGTGTTATACAAATATAATAAATATATTTTCATTATTCATATAACAGTTATTATGTATACCGTTAATATAATATTTTATTATATAAAATAATCCTGAATTTTATAGAATTTAAATTAACCCAATTTATTTTGATTAATTTTCAATTGAAAACTGCTAATATAGTGAAAAAAAATTAAAATATTTGGAAAATTTATATGTGGTTAACATCAAAAACGAATGCAAATCATGTAATTCATTGGTGTTTTGTCTATACATAAATTCAGTTGAATATTTCCAAATATTCCAATTAAATAAAATAAATATGAACTTAAATGAAAACATAATAAGTGATTTGCGGAAGAAATTGTTTGCATTTTCATAGACGCTCTATGTTACTATGTCTGCTCATCTCAATATGTCTTTGTAATAATTCCAAACCCATAATTGAACTAAATGCATAAATAGTTTATTAATATTAATACTTATTTTTAGAAGCAATAGGACCTATGCGAAATTTTGCGAAAATGATGTATGCATTTAATAATTATTCTAATATAACACCGATTATGTAAAATAAAGTTGAGATTTTTTATATTTGACTAACAGATTAAGTATAACTCAAAGAACGAAAGAATTCTTATGAGTATAAAAGGACTTACTCTGCTGAATTTCGATTTTAATTACAAACTGGAAATAAATTTAAATTTTCAATTTTACATATTTTTCAAATTTAAATTCATTACATTCCAAGTTGAAACTCTAAATCAAGAAATCTCTAATATGTATATCGAGAAACCAATGGTTTGTACCTTATTTTAAAAATTCATATTGTACACTGTTTATTATATTTGCGCATTGCAACTGACGGGTTCGATTAATCACAATTAGCATGATACAAAAGTTTTACCAATTATAAAATATCACGGCTGTTAGTGAATAGCTAAACCAGTACAAATGGTATTTAGATGTAGTTGGCTGCCTTTAAAGGAAATTATTATTACTACAACATTTTTTATAAAATATATTCAAAAATTTTGTCATTCAAAATGAATAAAACAAAATATTTTTTTAAAAAATTTTAATATTTTAAATACAAAATTCAAAACAATAGAAGAGCAAAGTAGAAGTGTGGGTGTTGACGACATCACTATCCTATTGAAAATTTATGGAATATTTAATATTGTCGGATTTCTTTTACATAATTTTCTCTTTAGAAGTGAAATTTTTCATTTTCAACATTTTTTCACCTAAAGAAATTTCATTTCTATATTTTATGATTAACTTTTCCAAAGACTAGTTGCTCGTATACAAAGTGTAACATATAGTTTATATGTTAGTATACGTCTAATTATATCGCTTTCTAATATTTATTAAAATATTTTATATTAAAAATCGAAATAAGAAATTACTTAATCAAATTTTTCTTTGTTCCCCTCAGCGCCCATAATACTTTTTTCAAAAAATTTTACAAAAAATTAAAAACCATTCAAATCCTTTTCAAAATCCTCTTTTACCCTTCTATTACGTAAAGTATTATTATTAACGTTTACCTTTAAATAATTCCACTTTAATCTTGTGTTTTGCAAAAAAAAAAACGAAAATATCTTAATTTCGCTTAAGACATTCGGGGTTTTTTTCTTCTTTAATTTTGGAAAATTTCTTAACATAAATTACATAAAATTTCAATCAGAATATTGAAAAAAGGAAAAACAACAGTAAAAAAACAAAAAAGAAAACAAAATGTGTCACTTTAAAAGTCTTTAGCAAAAGGAATTTTTCTGTTTTGTCATTATTACACCTGTAAATATAACACCGTTTTATTTTTTATCAGGTATTATGAATTTGTTACTTCTTTTGTACTCGTTCCAGGATTCAATAAGAAAATTTTTCACGTATATTACGAATTTTTAGTCTTTAAGTAGTCCAGAATAGTTTTTAGCATTTATTAGTGATTTCACTTAGGATCGGTGATTTCCCTAATAAATTAATACTAACTTTCACGGCAATTAACAAATCGATTTGCATTGTGGATTGAAACAAAGTCTACAATATGTCTACATATATGAGTCATATATTTAACAGGAGCTATAAGTTAGAATGTCCGATTGTAAGTCATACTATGTTAAAAAAATCAGCTAAAGCGATTTTTAGAATAAGTCAAATAATCTTGCTTTACCGCAAATTCTTTAACGTCAAAATTTTGATTTTAGTCTGCAAACTGTCTGAAACTAAAACTTTTACGGACAGAAATCTAGTAAACTTTTTACCCGTAATTGACTTTGAATTTTGATCATCCGTAAACGTCAAAACAAAAAAAAATTTTTTTTTTAGATTTAAAATAATTTTATACTTACATATTAAAAATTAACAATAAAAATATTTTTTATATTATTTTTAACGTAATGATAGTCACTCAACACATGAAATTTATTTACTGAATTACGTCAGACTGTCTGCATGTAAAAAAAAAAATCTACAATTTTGACGGTTAATTGACTTTTTATAAACGTTTAAGAATTTAAACTTTGACTGAGAGTAAAAACGTAGTAGAGTATCCGTAAACTCAGACAACTCAGATTTTGTAAAATTTGACGTTTAAGAATTTACCATTACTTTATAAACGCATTAAATTTTTTGGAACAAACCTTGCAGTTTTGACGAATAACCATAAAATTTTCCAGTTTATTTTTAACATTTTGTTTACTTTCTTATTCTTTATTCTCATGTTATTGTTATTACACTTTTAAAGTTTTTTTTTCAATATTACACAGAAAATCACAAAAATTTCTACTCCTTTTCCTTATATAACAAAAATTTCCTATTTTCAAATTATTGTTTTCTGTCACAAGCAACAACGACAGTTTTTCTTTTTTACTTTTACTTGTTCTTTTTCTTTTTGGCAAAGGGGATTAAATACTAAAATAACTTTCCTTCATTTTTGATTACACCCCCTCCCCCATCTTCCACTTTATTTCTTTCAAAAATCTTTTGAAAACCAAATAAATGAAGGCAAAATAAAATCACATACTTCCTGTTTGCAATAGACAAAAATCTTATCCAAACGGTGAGGTACCATTACAAGTAAACCAGTTTGTAAAAAGCGAAAGGAGGAGTGGATTTTATAGGTTTCCGAATATAGGGTGGTTAAAAAAGTTTTTTGTAAAAGGAAAAAATGAAAAAAACAAAGAAAAAAATTATCTAATTTGATAAAAATAAAGATTTTGGAAAGAAAAACTTTATTTTTTAGTATTAAAGACCTTTTAGTAAAATTGATACCGCCATTTTAATACAACACATTCCATATATGTAGTTTCCCAATGCAAAAATAAGTAAGTTTCAGAGCAAAACATTAACATTACCTCTGATAAGAAAAACTGCTTTTATGGCTTTGGCAAATGAATTTATAGCTTTGCTATGACATCATAAGTTAAGGTTAGAAAAAAATTTTTTTAGAATTCTCTAACTATTGGCGTACTCTGAAAATCATCATTCTGTTTATAAACAGATTCTGGACGAAAACTCTTCTGTCTATGAAAGAAATAAGGAAGTGATGATGATTTTGTAGTAAACATTTTTGGAATATTTAGAAATAATTAAAAAAAAAGTGAATTCATTGGAAGGCTAATCAATTGTTCTTTCAAAGGAGCAATATTTAATATGTCAAATTTGATTCAAAGTAAAATTGATGCTTCTTCTTTCAATGTTGTAATATTTTCAAAATATCACGGAGCAATTAAGAATGTTTACTTCGAAATTAATCAAGTAATTCATTTTATTATTGAATTTTTTCTAGATTTTTTCAGACCCAAAATATTATTTTAAAAATATTTTAAAGAAAATAAGCAACAGCTGAGAATTATTTTGTATTTGTTATCAACAATTCTTTCTTAAAATCTACTTTAAACACGTAAGAAATGAAAATTTAATAAAATTATTCTTTTTATTCTGAAGAAAGTAAAAAATATAAAAAAGTTTTGTTGAAAAAGGCGTTTTTCTATAAAAAAAAAATATAAAAGCTTTAAATAAATATTGTAAACACTTCTGTTTTGAGTACTTGTACTCGTTCTTATACTTTAAGGCACAAATATAAGTACAAAATCTCTGTATATGTTCTTCAAAAGAAGTACAAGGTTTAAGTTAATTGAAAATGACAATAAATTGAATTTAAATAGAAAGAAATAAATATTAAAAATATTTTCAAGAAAAATGAAAAATTAGACAAAAAAAAAGTAAAAATATTGAAAAGTAGGTGCTTTATGTGAAAAGAAAAAGAAAAATAAAGTTTTCGAATGCGGGTTGAAATTTTTAAAAACAGGTGTGTTTATGTCTATTTTTATTTTCAAAGTAATCATGAAATTTTTATTCTTTATTTTAGATGAGAATTAAAGGTTCATAAAATGAAAAGCATCTTTAAATATACCTGATTTCAGAATAGAAATTTGTTTAAACCGAAAATTTCTATATTCAATTTTATTTAATTAAAAATTTTTAGAAAAATTTATCTAAGGAAGCATACGTCTCAATATATTAGCAAAATCAAATAGAATGGGAAAGAATAGTATACGTATTAAGGAGCCGTCATTGAAGAAAATCTTCCATGTAGAAAATAACAACGTAAAAACTAACTCAAATATAATACAGACATACATCGGTACAACACACCACAATCAAATAGTCGAAGGTATATTATGTCGTCTTATAATCTGATCGGACTCAACTCAATTTTCCCAAAGAGCAGACAATATTAGATAGGTATCAACACTGCATTTCAGGCTTGCCCATCACTAAAGTAAATAAAAATACAATACACCAAAGCAGCTACCTAACATAACCGTTTTCTTAAATAAACAACAGGGTGCTTTCTTGAGCTCGTGGAACTTAAAATAAATTTAACTGTAACAGTAAAACTTCATTCCAGTCCATTGCAATTTCTTTAAATTCCAATAAGATTTTTGAAAGTAATTTTTTAAATATCACAAATTTTTACGAGAAAGGTCAATCAATTTAAAATGCGATAAAGTACAATTGCATCAGATTGTAAAATTAAATGAAATTTTGTTAATTTTAAGTTTTCTCTATAAAAAAAAAATCGATTTTGTAGAAAAAATTTAAAAAAAAATGTTAACTATTGTTTTGGTTTTGTAGTAAGTAAACACATTTGGAAATTTTTTTAATCCGGTGTTAAATTTTTGAAATTGAAAAAAAACGCAAAGAAAAAAATCCACAAAATGGTGTGAAACGTGACAATTTTAGCACGATTTTCACTTTTGTTCTCATTATTTTATTTGATTTGCTTATTCTTTTTCATTTTCTTATATTTTTTTTTACAAAATCAAGGTTTTAAGGAAATCTTACATAATTTATTCACAATTTTATAAACATTCTTTTTGCAAACCAAATACCTGCATACATACTGTTAACATTTTAATTAAGTCATAAAAGTCAATTAAAACCAAAATTTTTTTTTAATCTTGCCATTAATATATTGGTAAGTTTACATACTTCAGAAATTTGCAATTAAATTTTATACATAATTTACAACAATTATACACAACAGGGTTCATTGACAAAAATAAAAATTTAAGCTTATCTTAAAAATCTTGTGACCATTTTTTTAATTTTTTTATGAACTGTAAATTTATGAAAAAATTATTTATAATAATATAAAAAAAAACCATTATTAAACCATTTATGGGCGCGAAATCATTATTACTTATTTTCTCTAAAACCGAAAACGACTTAAGCGTCTTAATGAATTATGATCAATGAAAATTGTATTTGGCGGAAATAAACATGGTATTATTATTGTTGTTATTTAAACAGAGATAGAATAGAAATAACATGAAATTTATTTTGTAATTTTTTTTCCATTTAACTGAAACTATGCCAATTCATTAATGATATACATACACACATACATATACATACATACATATGTAGTTAAAATTAAATGAAAGCTTTAAATGCCATAAACGGAAAAATAGGTTAAATTTTTTTCTAAATAAAATTTTAACCTTAAGGTAATATTAAAAATCAATCATATTACTAAAATAATACGCGAATTAAGCTGATATATTAAATCTACATATATAATTATAGATTTCTCAAACAACCACGCTTTCAAACTTAAAAAAAAAAAACATGAACTTTTATTTTCGATTTTGATAGTTTAGTTTTGGTATTTGAAAGAAATTTCACTTTTTTATTTTCAATAATTAATTTGTAATTATTAATTATTATAAGTTAATAAAAATCGGCTCAGTTCTGGTACATTTCCAACAAAAATATCAAGTTAAACAGTTTCTAAATGTAGTTTTTTTAAAATTATTTGGTTTTCTTAAAAAATCCTACATTATTTTATTTAGTTAATTAATTTGCTTTTGTCAAATTATTTTACAAAATCTGAAAAAATTGAAAAAAACAAATTCTTTTTAGGTATACATGTGCATGGGTATGTTTATGATGTGTTTTGACGAAACTTAAAATGCAATTAATACACCGTTATTTGATATATAATGCACTGTTTCTAATTTGACAATTTAAAATGGCATTTGATGTAAAAAAATTAAAATACAGTAAAACTTAACACGGAAACCTGTCTATAACGGAACATTTGTATGTTTTAATTTGCAATAAGTAAGTTTGAAATTTTTTTTTCTTTTTAAATTATATTATATTTAATAATTTACTTTGGTTATTTTAGGAATTGAAAAAATACATTGACACTAAAAAAAAAGTATACAGTAATAAAAGAAAAAGAAGAAAATCATTAGTAAATTTGAAAAGTTACGCTCTTCAACAAAATAATTTTTTTACCAATCTGTCAAAAGTCTTTCACAAACCTATTGCTAACGGAAATCTGTCTTAAGTGGAATAGTTTTTTGGCCCCGTGGCGTTCCGTATTAGACAGGTTTTGCTGTATTTTTAAAAATTTTTATATCATTCTTCGGCACGGAGTACATGTATGCGGACATAACAAATTGCATTATTACAATAAAAAAATTATTATTTTCTTTATGAAACTTTAAGGATTATAAAATTTCAAATAAATTTCTTAGTTCCGCAATATGAAAAAAGTTTGAAAACCAATTAGTCTATATTCTTAATTCCCTCTATGGTTAATTTTTTAGTATAAATACATTTACGCGTTGTTCTATTAATTAATTTTATTTTGAAAAACATACTTGAAGTACTTTACTTTGTAAAATGTCAATGCTTACATGTATGTATGTTCAATTAAAGAAATGAGGTCTCCAGAGTATTGTCAATCTCTTTAAAATGAAACAGTCATGGACAATTGGTTCATGTAAATATGTACATATTGCTTTTTACACATCTACGTAATTATTTTCTTGTAAAATTAATAAATGTTCAAAATTAATTAAAAATTAAATTTTTAGTAGGAAAATATCAACTCTGCTATAATTGACATACATAATTAATTAACAAATAAAATTAAGACGTTAACAAAATAATTTCAACACTTTTGAATATTGTTTTAAAAAATTTTATTGATTTTTATAAAAAAAAAAAGTGTCGATGGAAATGAGATCTAAGCCAGATGAAAATACCAAGAAAAGAAAAGCAAAAATTTTCAATTACTTACTATGAAATCTTCGACAAATTTTTATTAATCCTTTTTAATCCTTTTGAAAATTAATGACTTGCGTTTTTTAATCCCAAGTAAATTTGTTTTTGTTTTTTTTTTTCTCTACTTTTCAGGGAACTTTTGAATTAGCTTAGTAATCAAATAACACATTTTTTGTTTACCTTTATTTTTATTCTCAAATTCTTGATTTCTTTAAAAACATTTTAAAAATCTTCCAATTCTTGAACAATTTAAAACCACAATAAACGCCTAATTTTTATGAAAATTTAAAAACAAAAATTTAATTTTCAATTAAAATTTTTTTAATTTTTTTATATTTTTTCGTAATTATTCTTAATTATTTTAAATTACAATCAAATTAGAAAAATTTCAACAAAACCACGAGTGAATTACAAATTTTTTTCTTTTTCAAAATCTTTTTTATATTAAAACATACAGAAAGAACCACAAATATTTCGAATATAAAAAAATTTTTATTATTTATCACTAAGCAAAATAAAAAAACACTTTTAAACTTTTAAGAAATATTCAATTTTTTTTTTATTTTAGAAAATAATCCTAAGATTATAATTTAAGAATATAAATGAATGCAATTAAACTGAAGAGAAAATATTGCTGAAGACGCGCGGGAAAAAGGGACCACAAGTAGTAAAAAAAAAAAGATAAAAAGCAAAAACCAAAAGAAAACAGAAAAAAAATTACTCAAACGGGAAAAAAATATTTTATTTGTTTTTTTTTTTTTTTTTTTTTCAAATACCTAACCCAAAACTAAAAAAAAAAGAACAAAAATTTAAAATCAAACGAATCGATTATACAGGTGTTACAGCGGTAAAAAAAAAATCCGCGGATTGGATTAAACTAACCGGTACCAAGTCACAACAGAAACTGAAAAATCCATCACCGTTTTGGTAACATTTTTGTGTCTCTCAAAAAAAAAAAACAAAAAATAATAATTTGGAAAATTTTCTTCGTTTCTTTTTAACTGACTTTTAAAGGTAAGAAAAAAAAAAACTTACCAAACAACAACAACTACCAAAACCATACCAAGCAGACCAAGCAAATCATTTATACTCCAACTCTATGCTCTAAAAGTTTAATTACAAATTCACATAGGTTTAAAAACTAAAAATAATTGAGAGAAATTTTCTTTTTCTATTAATAAAGATTAAAAGAGTTGTTAACAACTAAAGAGAGAATCAAACAAGAAAGAGAGAGAGAGGGAAAAAGAGGTTCTCAATTTAAAAATTATTAAATTTTATCAATAATAGTAGATCTCCCTCCAATAATACATATTTTATAGGCTAAGGCAAACAAGATTAAAAAATCTTTCAATTCAAATCGTTCAGTTGTTAAAAGAAGAATTCAAGTGTTTGATTTAAATAGACTTTAAGCAACAGTACTAGATTGTTATTTTTTACAAGAAGTTGAGAGAGAATTTCATTAAATGGTGTTGCATTGTTATTTTTTTTTTGTTTTCGTTTCTTGTACATGTTTTCTCTTTGTTACATTAATTTTCTATGTAATAGGCCTAGCTTATAGCTTCTAGCAATTACGCATACATTTTTTTTTCTTATACAATGCTCTTGTTATATACCAGATTATTGTTATATATATGTAGTGTTATATTTCGGTTATATTTTGTTTTTAGTTGAATTTTCGTTAAAGGCAAAATGAAAATATGCTTTGCTGAAAAACGCATTTAATTATCACGTTTTACATGTCTTTTTTATACACGAGTAAAAACTTACTTAATGGTATCTCTCTTGTGTTTTTAATTTCTTAAACAAAATTTTAAGGTACCCGCCTAAGTGCATTATTCTAGCACGACAAAATGTCAAGTAAATGAATATTATTTTTCAATTATATCGAAAATTTTCAATTTCTTATTTTTCAGAAAAAAAAACTATAAAATTCCCAATTAAATACTTGCTTACAGAAAATTGGTAATTTTGGTTTGCTTACAAAAAATATATAATTAGGAATTTCATATATACTATTTACTAAGCAATAAGTTTCCCGCGATACTCATATCACAATATAGGAAACTTGTTCAGATTCACCGAAAGTATGTACTTGGGTACTTGACTTTTATAAAGAGAAGTTTTGACATTATAGTGTTTTAATATCATGCTGCCTTGACACGCTAATAAATAGTTTACACAATATAAAGTGTCAGTTATAGAATAAGTTACACATTAATGAAGAAACTGAAGTTACAGTTGAATTAACCGCTTTTACTAGCTAGATATATATAACATTGCATAGTGGGAATGCTACAATAATAACCGATGTTTTTACCACAGTAGTTATTACCCATTAAATTAAATTTGCAATTGAATTTATAATTTTTTTTAATATACGGCAACTCTGATAAGTAATAACAATTTATTAGATTTTTTATGTGTTTATGAATAATTCTACTAGCTGTATAAGAAGTGTTTACTGAAATTGTAATATGTATGATTAAGTTTGAAAGAAATTTTATGCTATTTTACGGAACTTTCAAAATTATTGAATTGAAAAATTGTTTCTGTTGTTGGTTCTGTTTTTGGCTTTTTAGAATGAAAATTTCAAAATTGTCACATCAAAATTATAATTATTTTTTCTATTAAATAAAAATGAGAGTAATAAAAACTTTTTTACAGGCAAATTACATCCGATTTTTAATAAGGATTTATAACCCGTGCTTCCGTTTCGGAATATTGTTATGTCATTTTGTAACACGAACTGTCAGGTTGCTCAAGTTTTGAGCTGCCAAGTTAAAAATTGCAATTAGTTGCAAATGATTCGGAATTAAGTAAACAAAATAAATTACAAAAGAAGGCATAAATTTAAATGGTAATTAAAATAACAAAAGTCTTAAACGTCAAAACGTCAAAAATGACACTTAAATCGAAATACATTGCATAAAACACTATATGTCAAATTACACACATTATCTGTCAAATTTCTTCCATCATGCGCCAAATTTGCTTCTCCATTTACTAGTTTCTGTTATCCGTTTGAAAATATGATTTTGTATTGTAAAAAATGGTCAATGTACGTATTTAATGATATGTCACTTACTCTATATTTTCACCGCTTTGTTAGAATCACTTGGTAACTAACATTTATCCGAAATCTTTCATGCCTGACATGATCATCAATATAAATTTTACTTATATATACATTTAAACAATCCGTGGACTTACATATCTACTGTTATTGTTTACTATTTTCTAAAGAGAGAGAGAGAGAAGGAAAAAACTAGTTAATAGTTTTTATTTTTTACTATTTCTCTCAACAATTTTTTTTCTGTTTTGTTTTTATTTTCTTTTCTAGTTTTACGGCACGTTATGTTAATTTTTTTTTCTTTTATATTTTCTTTACATTTTATTGGTTTTTTTTCTTTTGTGAATTTTTTCATTATTCTTTTGTTGTTGTTTCATTTTTATTTTATTTTTTTCAACAATTTTAAGTTGTCCGTCCACATCGTTTTGTATTTTGTTTGTAAATGTAAGAAATCCAGTATAATGTTATGTGTTGTAAAAATGCTTGTTTTTAAAATAGTATACATAAATTCTTGCTTTTATCTTTCTAGCAGTGGAGTTTCTATTAGATTAGTCATTATATTACAAGATATGAGAAATTTTGTGTAAAATAAATAAAAATTTTTTCCAACATAATTATTGTTTTGTAATAAAGAATGCATTGTGTTCACACAAAAATTTTAAGTTGGAAAATTTGTTAAAGAGAGCGTCATTTTAATTTAGTTGTTATATTTAGTTTAAAATTTGAATAATATTTGTGATTGTTGAAAGAAATAAGCAACTTTTTATATTTGACCGGATTTTAATATACAAAGTAAATTATAAAGTTTATGGACATTCACCAAATTAGATCACAAGTTCAATAAAATTTCACACTATTGACAAGTAGTATGTATTTCTCTTATGAATTGAGGAAAAATTATCGAATTTCTAAAATAATATCGAGAGCCAATTTGATCGATTTATGCATTTTAATCACAAACTCTGGCTTTACTGAAGTATAAACTTCATTTAAGTAATGTAAATTGAATGTTTATCTCAGGAGTATTAAATTAATTCATATAATTTTAGTATCCTCCCATTTGGGATGAAAATTCTAGTACTTTCATGAGTTAGTATGCCTTTATTGCCTTTATATTGCATTAATGTGGAAAAATTGGTGTGAACGTAAGAATTTTTCGCTCAAAATTCATAATATTGTGTAGAGAAAATATGTCACGTCGAATTTGAACTATGACATAGTAAAAATTATTCGACATGTCACTGTTATAAAATGTAGTAAAAACACATACATTCATTATTACTACCCAATACAATACTATAATAGAAGAAGAATATTGAAAAGAAAATAGAAGAGTAAATAAGAGTAAGATTTTTTAATATTATTATAGTAAATGGAAATGAATGGAATTATAAAAAAAAATTTAGTGATGATGAGTCTTGTGACTTATTACCATTTTAAATGAATTAAAATAAAAAATAAAATTTTCAAAAATAATTTTTTGTTAAGATATTTTGGTTTTTTGTTTTTTTGTAAAACCAGTAATTTGAAACCGAAGAAGAAGAATATTTTAATAATTTTATGAATTTAATAAAAATATCAGGTTTTTATTATAATATACAAAAGAAAATAATAATAATAATAAAACGAGAATAGGTTGAGTTGATCGCGCCTACTCTATGATACCCGTACTTGCCACATTGTTCCATACATACTACTGATTTTTTATTCGTTTATGCAAAATTTCAGCAGTGTAATTTCAATAGTTTCCATAATATACGATTTAATGACTTTCGAAATTTTATGGCGGCTACCACCACAAGTCAAAAAACTTGAACTAATTAGAACCTTAATAAAGAACAATTTTTGAATTATCGCAAACATTTTTAACAGATGTTAAAAATCATCGAAAAATAAAGATACTCGGACCCAATCAGTCTTCAGACCTGTGGGGGACTTTAGCACAACCTAAAACGCACCTGAATGGTCATAAACTCCTAAAACTAGTCAAACTAACTAACCATTAGTTTTGTTCTGCCGTGTTTTTGTTTCTATACGCCGTGAAGGAAGTGCTACCACAGCATTTTAGGCTAATTCGAGAGATCTTGTTCGCTTCAGT